CCCGGTATATGTATGTGTGTCTACGTATATAATATATATATATATATATATATATATTATGAAATGGACAAAGTCCGACAATTATTTTAAGACATTTTTATGTTTATACATTCTTTTTATAGATGCAAATATTTAAGTAAATGCTCTGTTCTTAATAAATGTCTTTTTTTATATCAGGTGCTGGGTGTGCCAGGAGATATTTTCCTTGAATGTCACATATATTGTCCGAGAAATTTTCATAGAAAATATTCATCCTCCGAAAGGAATCGAACCTGTGTCCTATACGAAACTATCATATATGCCTTACGTGCCTTAACCGATTGAGCCACAGAGGATTGTTCGGTTAGCAAGGTCGATTTTACTGCTTTTAAATTACAATCGTCCATGAATCTCTCACGTATATTCATATCTGCTCAAAGCGTATCCAAATGTAAACAGATCATGTCACACATTATGAAATGGACAAAGTCCGACAATTATTTTAAGACATATGACGGTTCCGTATAGAATATAGGTTCGATTCCTATCGAAGGACGAATATTTTCTATGAAAAATTCTCGGACATTCAGGCCGGTAAATGTTATTAATACTGTTTATTATAAACAGAGCATTTACTTAAATATTTGTATCTATAAAAGAATGTATAAACATAAAATGTCTTTATATATATATATATATATATATATATATATATATATATATATATATTGGAAGATTTAATGTATGTTATATATTAATCCGGGTTATTTTTATTACTTCAAACATTATATTTAGTGTATACCATTATGTGGGTTGCTGCTCTGTTTATTTTATTTTATCTACTGGCCTGAACATTCAAGAATTCTTATTGAAGAAAATGAACCCCCAACGGGATTTGAACCTCTGTTTTCCAGGAGAACCCATCGTTTGTTCCGACATTTTATAACAACTTGGCTTAGAACTAAGTATAGTTTTGTTTGAAGTTATAAAAATAAGCCAGAATAATGAATAAAATCAATTAATTCTTTAGAAATTGCTTTGTTTATGTTTCGGATAGAAAAAAGTGCAGTTATGACATTCGAAGAAATCGGAACGAGTAAAGTGTGGTTTAAAGATAAATAGAACCGTTAAAAACCTAACTTAAAAGTCCTAACTGCAAAATCTAGAATAACACTTGATGTGTCCACGGATAAAATTGGTGTCTCAATAAAAACTCCGTAAAGGAGGCAACGGGTAACACTCCACTGTCAACCTCAAGATAAATCATGACGATCCACAATGTCAATATCAGAAAAAAAACGACATGAAAAGGGTTAAATGCACTGGGATTAACTCGTCACCCGGTAAGGAGAAACTAGTTGAAAAATACAAAAGGGATGAATATAGTGAAAGCATGGGGCACCCAGTGAGGATCGAACTCACTACTCAGTCGTAACTAATCTAGCAAGACAAACTTTCTAACCATTACACCACGTCGAGGTGGCCCAAAAGTGGTGAATATATGAAGAGATATCCTTTCATTTTTTTTTCTTGTACGTTTGTGTATAGCTCTTAGTATGACGATAAACTACATCCGGCAGCATGGCCTCTAATCTGGAGATTGGAAGTTTTGAGAAGCGTGGAATCACCTCTTAATTGTTGTTGTTCGCAGGTCGACCTGGACCTGGGGTGGTAGCACCAGTTAGGGTCCCAGCTGTGGGCAAATAGTGAACCCCCAAACAAAATAAAATAAAAGTATAAAAATACATTTTATAGTAAAAATACCAGTAATACATTTTTATATAAAAGAATTACCAACAATACCTATTTATAGTAAAATTAACAACAATCTATCAACCAACAGGAAAGAACTCTTTCAGGATATTAATCCATATAATATTCTACGATTTCTTAAAGAAATCAAACTGTATTCCAAACCAAAAACAAAACTACAACATAAAACACATATCACTACCTCAATGTCCACACAAACATGTATATGCAGAAAAAGCTGAGTATCATCTACCATGTATTCAATTGTGAAAGCAGAATAACATACATTTTGATTATTTCAAAACTCCCAAGAAAATTAAATTTCAGTATTAAATGACCCATAAGGTGTTGATGCGCCATTAAACAAACCAATCAATCATTCCTCAGTACAATATTCTTGATCTGAAGATTGCATCTAGGTATGACAGTCAGCATGCAATATTGATTCCTAGGTGCATTTTGTGCAGATCTCGCTCCCTTTCTCTCTCTCTGTCCCTCCCTCTGTCTCTCTCTACACATACACACAGATATATATATATATATATATATATATATATATATATATGTGTGTGTGTGTGTGTGTTTGTATAAAAGAGGACATTAAAGTCAAAACTCAGAGGTGACAGTGTCTTTCATGCTAGACGCAATCTTCAAGTGATCTGATGATTGCGTCTAGCATGAAACGGCCTGTCGCCTCTGGGTATTGAGCTTAATGTCCTCTTTTATATTTACAAACGCTCTATCTCTGATATTGAGCACTTTATCCCATAAATATAGCACACCTTAAAACTATATTTATATATATATATATATATATATATATATATATATATATATATACAGAGAGAGAGAGAGTAGCCCTTTTTAGGTTCACAGCTACACGTAAATAGTAAACCACCAAACAAAATCAAAACCCATGAAAGTATGAAAATACATTTTTATAGTAAAAAATTATAATAATACCAATTTATAGTAAAATCAGTCTACATGAAAAAACTCTTTCATGACATTAATCTAAAGAATATCCTAGAATTTCTTAAAGAAATCAAACTGTATTCCAAAATATAACTTCAACATAAAACGCACATATCGCCGCATCTAGTAATTATGTTCACACATGTATATGCAGAAAAGGTGAGTATCAGCTACCATTTCCTCAACTGTGAAAGTAGAATAACATATTTTTATTAATTCCAAGCTCCCAAGGCAATTCAATTTTAGCATTAAATGACCCATAATGTATCGATATGCCGTTAAACAAAGGAATCAAATCGAATCTATATCCTTTTCGTGTCCCAGTTATGGGCAAAAAGTTAACCTCAAACAAAAACAAAGCACTGAAGATATAAAAATAAATTTTATACTAATGTTACCAGCAATACAATTTCATATTAAAATTACTAAAAAAAATATTTTATCTGTAGTTGAAGGTATGCAGTCACGTTCAAAATATTTAGATTTCGGCATTAAATAGACCATTGAGGTTGATATGCCGCTAAACAAAATCAACCAAACAAAAACAATCAAAATATTTAGATTTCGGCATTAAATATACCATTGAGGTTGATATGCCGCTAAACAAAATCAACCAAACAAAAACAATCAAAATATTTAGATTTCGGCATTAAATAGACCATTGAGGTTGATATGCCGCTAAACAAAATCAACCAAACCAAACCAATCAAAATATTTAGATTTCGGCATTAAATAACCCATAGAGGTTGATATGCCGCTAAACAAAATTAACCAAACCAAACCAATCAAAATATTTAGATTTCGGCATTAAATAACCCATAGAGGTTTATATGCCGCTAAACAAAATCAACCAAACCAAACCAAACAAAATATTTAGATTTCGGCATTAAATAACCCATAGAGGTTGATATGCCGCTAAACAAAATCAACCAAACTAAACCAATCAAAATATTTAGATTTCGGCATTAAATAACCCATAGAGGTTGATATGCCACTAAACAAAATCAACCAAACAAAAACAATCAAAATATTTAGATTTCGGCATTAAATATCCCATAGAGGTTGATATGCCGCTAAACAAAATCAACCAAACTAAACCAATCAAAATATTTAGATTTCGGCATTAAATAACCCATAGAGGTTGATATGCCGCTAAACAAAATCAACCAAACAAAAACAATCAAAATATTTAGATTTCGGCATTAATAACCCATAGAGGTTGATATGCCACTAAACAAGATCAACCAAACAAGCAACATGAAAAAACTCTTTCATAACATTAATTCATATAATATCCTACAATTTCTTAAGGAAATCATATTATATTCCAAAAGGTAACTTCAATAAAACTACAACACAAAATATACATATCACTGCCTCCAGTAATTATATTCACACAAACATGTATGTTCACAAAAGCAGAGTATCATCTACCATGTATTCAATTGTGAAAGCAGAATAACATATTTTATTCCACCAAAGCCCCCAAGAAAATTTTAATTTCGTCATTAAATGACCCATAAGATGTTGATATGCCGTTAAACAATCAAATCAAATTAAAGGTCCTAACAAAATTAAATTTCGGCATTAAATGACCCATAAGATGTTGATATGCCGTTAAACAAACAAACCAACAAACGTTTGGGTGAAGTTTCTTTGAAGTTCCTTTCAAGTTTTGTTAGAAACTTACAACTGAAAAGAGTTCTTTATCTATTAGTCTGGTAGAATTACCCGATATGCCTGTGCGTAATCAAATAAACTTCGGGCCGTGTACGCTGCGTTGGGTTAAATGCGGCATGACGTTCGCTGGGGACATTACGGTCCCCAGTTTGGAAAAAAGACGCTATTTTTTCTGAGGCTTCTTGTGATTAAATAGAAAAACAGATAATTAGACTTGCGGTGGTAATCCTATGGTATCTTTGACCTTGTAACGTGTATTCTAAACCTTCTTCCCGTTACATTTTTTCTTTACTTGAAAATATTTAAAATTTAGACGTTATATATAATGGATAAACTCAGAAACCATGCCTAGTGACAAGGAATGTTCGGTGATGCGTATCGAACTTATAATATTAATAGAGACAAACCTCTCATCAACGGACTAAGAGGGATGTGATGTCCGTTAAAGTCGATTGTCCGTAATGGGAAGGGATTACTTTTGAGTTATAAAACCACTAGTGTAACTGCCAGTGGTTATGACCCTAATGTTAATACTATAAACACACACACGCATAAACACACACACACACACACACACATACATATATATATATATATATATATATATATATATATCATTGATAGATAGATAGATAGATAGATAATGTGAGCAGACTTAGATAGGAACAAGCTGAGATAGATAGATAGAAAGATAGATAGATAGAGATAGATAGATAGATAGATAGATAGATAGATAGATAGATAGATAGATTAATCGAAATAACAAAAATAGATCTCTCACGGATACTATCTAACGCACAAGCTAATGTATCGTACTTTATATACTGTACACTCGTCTTTGTTTACAATTGAAAGGTCCTCTCCCGCCGCCAAGCGGTCACTTCGAGAACTGATACGACTCGTTTCGCTAAGCCCTCAAATTTTTAAATACATCGCTGACGATTTGAAAGTTTTCTTCCTGCGGTTTTTTTTTCTTTTCTTTTTTTATTTTGTCTGCAGATTTTGTCCGTAGATGAGAGGTCTGTAAATTAGACGTTTGCCTGTATTTATATTCCTAAAAGCACATATACAGGCACAAGAAGAATCCACAATTTTATTGGTCCTGAACTCGCATATCGGCTTCCCTCACTGAACCTTATATCCGTCGCACCGTAGCTCTACTTTGCCGTTTGTATAAATAGTTTCATGGTAATTCTATTAATGAGTTTTCCTTTAAGCGCAGTACTAGATTGGCGGAAAGGTCCCATCATTTTACAGTTGAAAGGGCTAGATGCAACTGTAAGTTCTGTTCTAACAGTTTCTTCCCTCACAATTCTCGCCTGAGGAACTCACTTCCGGTTTTTGCTTTTTAGTCAAACTTGAATCCTCAGAAATTGCAATGCAATATGAATCGTTATCTTCTGCCTTTTTAATTCTCATTCTTTTATTGTCCTCTCTCCTTAAAAATGTTCTCTTTTTCTCACAGTCTCTCACACTCGGTAACCTCCCTTGCATCTTAGTTGAGGTATTGAACTCACAACTCTTTGGGTTCTGTCACTGGATCTAACCAAGGCCTTTATCCACTGCGGCATGTGTCCTTGAGGAATCCGGTTAAGGCAGTGGAGAACTTGGAGAGGGGAATTAACAGGAGATAACTGATAAGTGATATCCATTAAACATGGCAAGTGGAACTAGAACAGTCTACCCCAGTGAGCGAAATAAAGGTTTCAGTTCGACAAATAAAATAGTGTGCAATAATGTCGTTGGGTTAAAACTTTATCGTATAACACGCCCGACGCCATTGATGGCTTTAGATTGCGCCTGCGTACGCCAATCACAAATACGAATTAATGCCATCATCCTTAGCGATCGTTTTACGCGATAGGCTCCCAATAGAAGAAGAACTGCCACGCATTCCCAATCATTTGTAACATTTCACTTTTATATTTTAGAGATCGATAACCAAATACCAAAAGAGAAACACACGAAAAGCAATAAAACTTATGAATACATTAACGGAATGAAAATGATCGTATAAAAGTATTATTATTAGCAGACATATTGTAGTCTGGATCAAGGTCTTAGAATTGGAGCGATCAGTGAAAACCTGTCTCAGAAACTGTAATTTCCATATTCCGAATTATTAGTACATTTACACAATTTATCTATGATATTATTTGATCAGTAACACCTGTATTCATGCCTGACAAGAGACAATACAATTCTTTATGATTTCCAATATATTCCTATAGTAATATCAATAGCAAGAATTTTCCTAAGGTGTATAGTAACCCTGTTCTATCTGTAATGATTGCATTCATTCCTGGCCATTGACAATACCATTTTTCTGACTTTTAATACATTCCTAGAGAAAAATCATCAACAGTCATTCAGATTATACATATGAATTTTAATCATTTCACTCCAAGCAAGGTAATAAAGCCACTTAGACGCAAGGGGTTACTGGGTGTGAGAAAATATAACAAAAAGAAAACATGATTAACGAGTGCGAAGAATAAAAGAACAGGGATTAAGAAGACGGGCGATAACGATTGACATTCTTGAGAATCGAAGTCAGCTCAAAAACAAGAAGCCGGAAAAAAATAAGTTCCACAAGTAAGAAAAGCGAGAAAACAAATTACGGGCTTAGAACTTGTGGTTATCTATATTAGATATTTTGTTAGTTATTTTTCATTTTCTCTTTTGTTCTTGACAGCATTTTAGAATACTTTGACTGCAATGCTAAATTTCCTAAGATCAAGAAACTGGAGCTATTTCGTTTACGCTTTGTTACCTTTCTTTTCCATTGTTGTTTTCTGACAGTCATTTTGATGGGCAATAGCGAAATTCTGAAATTTAGAATGATCTTATCATATTTCAAAAATAAAGCCTGTAAAAAGTATTATCTTAAATTAATATACAACCAGAAATAAAATGGCTTTGACAACGGTGGAGTAAGCGGCTCGTATTAAGTAACTAGAGAGGCGAGTTCGAATTCCAGTCGAATCCATTACACTCACTTTCGTGCTAATACCTTTGGGAATGTTATTAATCCTCTTCTTCTTCTCCCCCCCTCATCTATAGGTAAATAGCAAGAAAGACAGGGTTCTATGGCCTTGGATTTATTAAGAATTTATTACAGGAAATATCAAGTTTTAGGGAAACATTTTTGAATATTATGTATTTAGTTACAGAACAAATAAATAAAAATGATATTTTTTATGCTATATTCCATTCTTTGTTAGGTATTTTTCATTTTCACCTCTGTTATTGGCAGCATTTTAGAACACTTTTGGCTGCAATGCTAAGTTTCCTAAGTTGAACTAGAGCTATTTCGTTTACGCTTTGTTGCCTTTCTTTTCTTTTCATCGCTTTCTTTCAGTCATTTTGATAGCGAAATTCTGAAATGTCTTCATCCACTGGGTCATGTGTCCTGAAGGACACATGACCCAGTGGATAAAGGCATTGGTTAGATCTAGTGACTAGACCCAAAGAGTTGTGAGTTCAATACCAGGCCACAGTAGTGGTGAGCCAAAGCTTGGAGAGTTGAATTAAAGGGGAATTATTGAGACATCCGAAAGAGGCATGGCAAGGGGAAATAGAACTATCTACCCCAGTGGACAAAATATAGGGTTCGGTTCTAAATTCCCGATCAACTGAAGAAGACCGGAGCGTACAACGACTGAAACATTGTGAATATGACAATGAAGCTGAGGATAACAGTCGGAATAATGCAAGTAATCATAATAACTCATCTGAGAGATATAGACCCCGAAACGTTGTGAATATGGCAATGAAGATGAGGATAATAGTCCGAATAATGCAAATAATGCAAGTAATCATAAAACCTCCTTTCAGAGATATAGACTCCGAAACGTTGGCAGTGAAAATGAGGATAACAGTCCGAATAACGTAAATAATGCAAGTAATCATAACACCTCATTTCAGAGATATAGACAGAAAAACAGTCTAGAAAAAACATAGAGTAATATTCAAAAATTTATGCTAAAAATCTGGAATGAAGAGAAACGGATCCACATTAGCCTTTTGAAGTTCAAATATGTGATGTAATATTTCTTTATTCAGCTGGGAGAAAATTGGTGTGTATTCTGATGTTATACATCCTTGTGCAAATTAATTGAAACAACTGCTTTAGTTTCCTTTCTTTCACTATACGGTTAGTTTTAGACCCACTGGAGTAACAGGGTCTAATCGATTTCTATATTTTCCTTAGATTAGGACATTTACAATAATGTGCATTAATATGAATCTATTTTCGGGGTGTATAATGAAATTTTTTGGCCTTGGAAAATATTGCGTCATTTTTGATTGCATCAGATTTTTATCACGCCCAGACAATATTGTCCCGACGGTCGATTAGTTGTCCTACGGCCATTGTCTATGATAGACGTTAATCCAAAGAAGCGTACTAAAATTGTAACGCTGCACCAACAGACTGGCAAGCTTTACCAATGAGCAAATCAAAGTACTATAGACTGGCACGGAAACTCTCCTGATTTAAATCCAATCGAGAATCTGTGTTCAATTTTCAAGGAACGATTTTGTGGAATGGAGATACGAAGTACTAACATGTACACTGGATCATGTTTCATTGGAAAAATACGAAAAAAAATGCAAATAATAACGGAATTATTCGTTTTGTTTCAATTAATTTGAACAAGGGTGTGAGTTATGTTAATTAAATATTATTCATTAAGAATGTAATTCCGTTCATAATCAACGACTTAAGCAAAAGGGAAGTTTAATTTTCGATTCCACGTAAAAATATATCTGGAATTTTACCCGACAAAATACAGTTTTCAACTTTTTCTTTTGAGTGTCCTGCTGTCATATAGGATATAAAGGAATGGAATCTCCCATTTATATAAGTAAACGGAGTCAAGCGGAGTTGAGGAGAGTCAGCATTATGTCTCTTTGGGTAGAGAGGAACCCAGACGAGGCTATGTCAAAGGACAGAGTCATGTTTCATTGGAAAAATACGAAAAGAAAAGTAAATAATAACGGAAGTTTTCGTTTTGTTTCAATTAATTTGTAAAATGGTGTAAATATGGAATCATTTGTATTACACGAATTGTTGAGAACGAGTCAAACCAATCAGTATATAATTCACAGTTTCTTTTATTTATCATATATTTTTGTTAAAAAAAATGTACTATAACCCCCCTCCCAATCATCTCTGCAACTCGCGTCAAAAGCAAGTAATTAGCATGATAAATGACAAATAAATGGCCGGTATATATTTGGACGGCAGAGAGCCCCAAGGAGAAACGGGTATATATATATATATATATATATTGAGAGAGATAGAGAAAAGAGAGAGTGAGGGAGATACCTATCTGGAATTAATTTCTTTCATGAAGAAAATCGTGTGATTAGACGTTAACACTCATGTACACAGACATGCATGCGAAGAGAATGATTCAATTTTCTCTCCCGACAAGTACGTGTTTCCGCGGTCGAAAAAGTATTCGTGATTTGTAATAAAAAGTTCAAACCTGACACAGAAAATAAATCACGAGTTACATTTTCTTGTTCGCTTTGCTAATAAACTTTAAAAAATATTGGCGAATCAAGTGATATAAAGTGTTTAACTATTATGTTATTGTTTTTCTTTTGTGAAAATAGGTGACAAGTCTACAAATTTATATCTATAATTCTCAAAATGTGTGTCTGTATGTATGTGAGTAGAATCGCATGTTGTTTATGCGTTTCAACAGTTTTCACCCGATTTCGATTAATTTTTTTTTTTTTTTTTTTTTTGATAGTTAATTCTTCAGTGCCGATTT